TCCGCCCCTGATTCCCCATGAACATTCAACCAGCTCCTAACTCTCTTTGCCTTCCCATCTCACCTCTGGACAGAAGCTGCCCCCTTGATCGCTTGTATCTACTTGACTAAGAGGCACATTCTTCACAAGTATCACTTTATGTCCCACAGTCCAGTCCAATCCCTGTCTGAAGAGTTGGCCTCAGAAATTGTTTTAGTTCTGGGGTGATAGAGAGTCCAGGGGCCATGCTTTCCGGGGCACCTCCAGTCTCAGACCATTAAGTCTGGCCTTCTTACTAGAACATGAGTTCCGCATCCCATCGTTCTACTGCTCCATCAGGGACCCTCTGTTGTGTTCCCTGTCAGGACGTTCATTGGTGGTGGCCGGGCACCATCTAGTTCTTCTGGTCTCAGGCTGATGAAGTCTCTGGTTTATGTGGCCCATTCTGTCTCTTGGGCTAATACTTGCCTTGTGTCTTTGGTGTTCTTCATTCTCCTTTACTCCAAGTGGTTGGGACCAATTGATGCATCTTAGATGGCCACTTGCACAGCTTGTCAATTTCTGCAGAAAAAAAAAAAACTGGGATTTTGATAGGGACTACATTGAACTTATAGGTCAGTTTTGGGAGTATTTCCATCTTAATAATATTAAGTCTTCCATGAATGTGGGATACCTTTACATTCATTTGTTTGTGTCTTCAATTTTTTTCAGTGATGCTTTGTAGTTTTGTAGTTTTCAGTGTACAAGTCTTGCAATTCTTTTATTGAATTTACTCATAGTTATTTTATTCTTTTTCATGTTATTATAAATGTGATTGCTTTTTTTAATTTCAGTTTTGGATTGTTCATTGCTAGTGTATAGAAATACAGTTGAGTTTTTTATATTGATTGTGTGTCCTCCCACCTTGCTGAATGCATTTATTAATTCTAGTAGTTTTTTTTTAGGACTCCTTAGGGTTTTCTACATATAAAATCACATAATCTGCAAATAGAGATATTTTTACGTCTTCCTTTTTAATCTGGATGACTTTTATTTCTTTTTCTTGCCTGATCTAGAGCCTCCAGTATAATAAATAGAAGTGGCAAGAGTGGACATATTTGTCTTGTTCCTGATCTGAGGGGGAAAGCATTAAATCTTTCTCCATTAAGTACAATGCTAGCTGTGGGTTTTTGTAGATAACCTTTTACAAGGTTAAAGAGGTTACCTTTTATTCTTAGTTGGTTTTTTGTTATTTGTTTTTAATAATGAAAGCATACTGGATTATGTCAAATACTTTTATGTGTCTGTTGAGATTATAGTGTGTTTTTTGGCCTTTGTATGGTATATTATATTGATTGATTTTCTGAATTTAAACTAAACTTAAAACATTTTTGGTGTGAGTTCCATGTGGTCATGGTGTATAATCCTTTTTATATGTTGCTGAATTCATAGGGTTGCTGTAACTCAGAATCTACTCAATGGCAATGGATTTGGTTTGGGTTTTTAATTCAATTTGCTAGTATTTTTTTGAGGATTTTTTCTGTATATATTTATAAGGGTTATTGGTCTATAGTTTTCTTTTCTGGTGATGTCTTTGTCCAGTTTTGGTATCAATACTGGCTATATAAAATGAGTTGAGAAGTGTTCCTTTATCTTCTACTTTTTGGAAGTTTGTGAAGTATTGGTGTTAATTCTTCTTGGTAGAATTCTTGGTAGAATTCTTGGTAGAATTCTTCAGTGAAGCTATTTGGGCCTGTACTTTTCTATGTTGGAAGTTTTTAAATTACCAGTTAAATCTGTTTGCTTGTTACATATCTATTAAAATAACCCATTTCTTCTTGAGTCAATTTCTAGGAATTTGTTCATTTTATCTAGGTTATCTAATTTGTTGGCATACCGTTGTTCATAGTATAACTCATTTTATTTCTGTAATTTCAGTAGTGTTGTCCTCTCTTCTTGATTTTAATAATTTTAATCTTCTCTTTTTCTTGGCAGTCTAGCTAAAAGTTTGTCAATTTTGTTGATCTTTTCAAAGAACCAACTTTTTGTTTTGATTTTTTAATAATGTTTTTCTACTTTCTATTTTGTTTATTTTCTCTGTAATCTTTATTATTTCCTTCTTTCTGCTTGCTTTGGATTTAGCTTGCTATTCTTTTTCTAGTTTCTTCAGGCGGAAGGTTAGGTTATTGATTTGAGAACTTTCTTCTTTTTAAATATAGGCATTTACAGCTATAAATTTCCCTCTAAGCCCTACTTTAACTGCATGTCATAAGTTTTGGTATGTTATGTTTACATTTTCATTCTTCTAAAAGTATTTTATAATTTTCCTTGTGATTTCTTCTTTGGCCCATGGGTTATTTAGAAGTATGTTTGTTTAATATCCACAGATTTGTGAATTTCTAAGAAATGTTCTTCTGTTGTTGATTTCTAATATAATTCTATTGAGGTCAGAGAGCATGCTTTGTATGATTTCCATCCTTTTTAAATTTACTAAGGCTTGTTTTGTGGCCTAGCATATGATCCATCCTGGAAAATGTTCTTGTATACTTGAGAAGCTTTTTTGTATTTTGCTATTTTTTGGTAGAGTGTTCTATTAAGATATCTGTTAGGTCTAAAACTGCCCCTTAGGGTTTCCAAGGAGTGACTGGTGGATTTGAACTGCTGACATTTGGTTAGCAGCCAAACACTTAACCACTGCACCTCCAGGGCTCTAGTTAGTTGATAGTGTTGTTCAAATCTTCTATTTTCTTGATGATCTTCTGTCTACTTGTTCTACCCGTTATTGAGAGAAGGGTATTAAAGTCTCCAACTATTATTGTTGAATAGTCTGTTTCTACTTTCAGTTCTGTTCTTACTTTATGTGTTTTGGGGATCCATTGTTAGGTGCATATATCTTTACAATCATTATATCTAGTGGATTGACCCTCTAATCATGATAAAATATTCTTTGTCTCTAGCAACAATTTTGTCTTACAGTTAATTTTGTCTCATGTAAATAGAGCTACTCTAGCTCTCTTTTTCTTACTGCTTGCGTGGTTCATATCTTTTTCTATCCTTTTAGTTTTAACCTGTTTGTGTCTTTGAATCTAAAATGTGCCTTTTATAGACACCATGTAGTTGGATCATTTTTTTAAAATCCATCTATCAACTTCTGCCTTTTAACTAGAACATTTAATTCATTTACATTTATGTAATTACTGATAAGGATGACTTAACTTCTGCCATTTTGCTATTTGTTATTTTTGTTAACTGAATGCTTAACTATGCACTAGGCCATGTATATACATTATCACATTATTTTATGCTCATTTTATAGTTGAGGAATTGAAAACCCAGAAAGATGCAGTAGCAGTGCCGGTCAGTGGTGGAGCTAAGCCATGAACCTGGCATTTTGACCCTCGGCTCTTGCCTAGAAGCCTCCTTACTGGTCCCCTGGCTTCCACAGTTGCCCTCTGGAGCCAGTCTCCATATGCAGTCAGAAGAATTCTTTAAAAATGTAAATCAAATCATGACACCCCTGCTCCTGACCCTCCAATGGCTCCCACACGGGGCAGGTTGTGCCCCCTCCCTTGGTGGTTACTCTGGCTTATGTGTATCACATAGGAAAGGGCATGAGATGCTTTGTGATGAGCAACTCCTAGGTAACTAGATAAACTCAACCACAAGTTTGCTTCCCATGAGACAGGCCACCAGAGAGCTCAGAGCACTGTTGACTTTAGTACTATTTGCTGGCCTCCAAGCACGTTCCAGCCCAGGCCTTGGAGAGCCTAGAGGACTGTTTTAGGCTGCGTTCTCTAGAGAAGCAAGACCAGTGAAGCATATATGTATGTGTGTGTGTGTGTGTGTGTGTGTGTGTATATGTGTATATGTATGATATGTATATTATCATGGATTGAATTGTGTCCCCCAAAAATATATGTCAACTTGGTTAGGCCATGATTCCCAGTATTGTGTGGTTGTCCTCCATTTTGTGATTGTAATCTTCCTGTGTGTTGTAAATCCTAATCTCTGCCTGTGGTTAATGAGGAAAGATTATGTTAAAGAGGATTAGGGTGGGATTGTAACCTTTACTAAGGTCACATCCCTGATCCAATATAAGGGGAGTTTCCCTGGGGTGTGGCCTGCACCACCTTTTATCTTACAAGAGATGAAAGGGAAGCGAGCAGAGAGTAGGGGACCTCATACCACCAAGAAAGCAGTGCCAGGAGCAGAGTGCATCCTTTGGACTCAAGGTCCCTGTGCTGAGAAGCTCCTGGACCAGGGAAAGATTGATGACAAAGACCTTCCTCCAGAGCCATCAGAAAGAAAGCCTTCCCCTGGAGCTGACATACTTAATTCGGACTTCTATCTTACTAGACTGTGGGAGAATAAACTTCTCTTTGTTAAAGCCATACACTTATGGTATTTCTGTTATAGCAGCACTAAATAAGTAAGACATATATATACACATATATTGATATATATATATGTAGAGAGAGAGAGGTTTATCTCAAGGAAATGGCTTACGCAGTTATAGGGACTGGCAAGTCCCAAGTCTGTGAATCAGGCATCAGTCTGGAGGCTTCTCCTGACTCACATACCTGCAAGGGCTGATGAATCCAAGATTGGCAGGTCAGACAGCAGGCTGCTGGCTCACAGCCTGCAGAGGCTGATTAATCCCAAGATGGGCAGGTAAGCTGCTAGCTCAAGTCCCAAGAACTGGAGGTCAGATGATGACAAGCTGGGTGCAGGATCCAGAGCAAGAGCCTTGTTGGAACATCCATTTATATACTGGAGGCAGGCCACACCCCCAGGGAAACCCCCTTTCAACTGATTGGCTGCTCATAGCAGATCTCAGTCAATTTATATCATTACATAACTGCCAAACTACATCATAACTGCGAAACCACTGAGAATCATGGCCCAGTCAAGTTGACACACAGCCTTAACCATCACAAGGACCCTTTGGACTGTGGCCATCATCAAAGGGTTGCTCTACTGTGCTTATCTTCTCCCCCAGCCACACCTAACTTCCTGCTTCCTCCTCCTCTCCCCCTCTTCAGACCATGCACGTCCTGCAGGAGCTGCTCAGTGACCTTCACTCAATGAAGGCCACTATTGAAACCCTCAGGAAGGATGTGGACAAGCTGAAGGACCAATTTGAAAAGGTAGACTCTTCCCAGCATCCTCCATGCTGGCCATTCTGCCCAGACCTCTGGTATTTGGGGCAACAGGGAAAATCTAGGAAGCCTGTTCTTAATCAAAGAATATAGCCATGAGGGCAGGAGAAGGGGGCTAACATAGCCCAGGCACTTGGCCTGTCCAGCTGAGCTTTCCTCGCCTTTAGGTTGTTACCCCATGTTTGGTCCCCCCATGTTCCTCACCCCACTGTGCAGGACCCTTGATTGTAAGTGACAGAAACTCAATTCATCCTGGCTTAGGCAAAATAAAGGAATTATTTATTGTCGCATTCACTAAGAAGTCCAAGGATGGCTTCAGGTACAGCTGGATCTAGGTGCTGATATAACATCGATAATCTCTCTTTCAGTAATGCTTTCCTCTGGCTTGGCTTCATTATCAGGCAGGTACTCCCCATGTCTCAGCCTCTCCAGGCTTACATTCTACCAACTTAGCAAAAAGAGAACAACTTTTTCTCTTCTAGAAAGCTCTGCTCACAGTGAAAGGAAGAGTAAATCTAGCACAAGCATCTATACTAGGCCTTGGTGTCAGTGCAAGGGTATCAATCCAGGCATGTTCTAACATCCTACTATGAAGTGGAAGGACACAGAATCCCTGAAGAGTGATCAGTCAGCACTGGGGTCAGAAGCCAGGTGTCCACACTCCCAGGCCAGAGTTGGGCTGAGTTTTGCAGCTTGCCCTGGAATTGTGTGATTTAACGCATCATCCTTGATTCCCAGGTGAGTGGATGCATTGGATCATCATGGCAACTGTGAGAACTTCAGTCCAGGGCTGGGTAGTCCCATCGGAACAGAAAGGGCACCGTCCAGAAACCATGTCAGGGAAGACTGAAAAGGACCCCTTGGATAGATGTGTTTGAGAAAGTGCCTACTTGGGCCACCTCTTGGAGATTCTTAATGTGCTTTTTCCATTAAAAGCTCCGAGAAGTCCTGCAGTAAAGGAACCTATTGAATGCCTTTTAGCCCAGCACTTCCCAAACTTATTTGCCCATGAGACCCTTTCCCACTCCCTCCCTGCTCTCTGAGAAGGGCTGCTGTGGAATCTGTTCTTACCGCTCAGACTTTTGGTCGCCTAGAGCTAAATCCTTAGATTCAAGGCAGGAGAAGAAGAGGTCTGAGGCCAGAACCTCCCCCCTGGCCCACAGGCTTGGTTCATTTGACAGATGAACCTGGAAAAACTTGAGACCTTCTTCGACGATTTCAAAAGACAGAACCGCAAGATGACTGCCTTGCAGCGGGAACTGGTGAGGGCCATGGACCCTGTCCTCCCTTCTCTGCCCCGCCCCCGCCTCGCACCCCGACTCGAGGCCCAGGAGTGTAGGGGGCGGGGTGGGGGAGGAGGAGAGCTGACTCCAGAAACACCAATGCATAAGGGAACCCCGGGAGGGCAGGCCATCCTCCAGGCTCACACCCCTCATCCCCAACCACGCTGTCCCCAGATTGCCATCCAGAACAGGGTCAACGCCTTCCCCAAGAATGAGGATTTGGTGCTCTGGAGCAGCCTCCACGAGGCCATGTTCCCCTCGGTGAGTGGAGGGAGAGGAGGACAAGCAGCAGGGGGCTGGGGAGAGCCAGAGGTCAGGGCCGGTGGCAGCAGCCGTGGCCAGCCCAGCCCGTCTTCCACAGGGAATCCTGAGAAGGCTGGAGGGAAGGCCAGACGAGCCACTGCAGTGGGAGCAGGGGCCGCTGAGGCAGACCACCGAGCCGTTCCCGGAGGCCACCCTGCTCCAGCCTTCTGAATATATCGAGGCCATTGGTCATATCCAGGCCACAGAGCCCATCCAGGGCACCGAGCTCCTGCAGACTGTGTGGCACCATGACACCCCAGGGGCCCTCCCGGACGAGGAGCCTGCACAAGCCATTCTGCTCCCTGGGGCCCAGGAGCCAGGCCAGCTGCCAGCGCCCGAGCCAGGGTCTGCACCACAGCCTGGGCCCTTGACTAAGTCTGTGGCTGAGCCTGCAATGGGGCCGATGCTGGGGCCCAGCCTGACCTCTGGGTTTGTACCAGCACTTTGGCCCATGGGACCTGGGCCTGCCCAGGGACCTCAGCCTATGCCACCGGGAGGCTGGCCTGTGCCCCCCGGAGGCTTGCCCATGCCACCTGGAGGCTTGCCTGTGCCCCCCGGAGGCCCCGTGCCCCCCGGAGGCTGGCCCATGGCCCCCAGAGGCTGGCCCGTGCCCCCCGGAGGTTTGCCCGTGCCCCCCAGAGGCTGGTCCATGCCCCATGGAGGCTGGCCTGCTCCCAGAGGCTGGTCTGGGGCAAGCCCTTGGTCTTTCTGGGCCTCAGACTTCTTTGAACCTGGCCCAGGCCTGTCAAGCCCCCTACAGCCTGCCCAGCCCCAACACCCGCCCACCAGGGCCCCACCGCCGGCCACAGAGCTGGGCTCAGCATGGCCCCGTCCGCTCCAGCCTCACAGGCCTCGCCAGGCTGAGGCCACCCCGCTGCAGGCTGTCACAGAAAAGGGGGAAGAGCTGTATGCCTACCAGGCAGTGGCCCCACAGGATGGGGCCCCCAAGGATAAGGCCCCCATGGAAGCACACCCCAAGCATCCCCGGTCTGCCCTTCATCGGATGAAGACCACAGCTGCCATTGCTGCCACCGCTGCCGCCACCTACGCTGCTGCTGCCAAAACAGCGGCCCAGGCGGCCAAGGCTGCCGCCAAGGCACTCAAGGATGTTCCTGCCACCAAAATGGCCACCTTAGCTTCGACCACGGCCTCTGCTGGGGCCTTAGGGGTCCTTGCGGATGTCCTGGGTGCCGGAACCTCCCGTGGCGCCACCAGCTCTGCCGCCGCCAGTGAGGACACCGACACAGAAGAATACCACTTCACTCCTCCGCACGCGGTCGCCCGCGTCTCCCCCGAAGACACGCTGCCTGCGACCTTGCTGGCTGCGCAGAAGGCCGTGAGCGCTGAAGACAAGAGGAAGGCGGTGAAGGAGTCCATGAGCTACATAGCCACGCTGCCCGCTAGACATGACTCCATGAAAGAAGAGTTCGCCCAGCTGTCCTCCAAGCTGCAGCAGCGCCTGACCTACCTAGGTAGGCGAGGGCTGCAGGGGCTCGGGGGCCCGCTGTGCCTTTGAGAAGCTCCTCCTCTCCTTCGTTTAGCTCCCCCAACAAAGTTGGTGTTTTGCCATTGGCCATGCATTTCTTTGGATTAAGCATTAGCATCTCACTTGTTGTTAGAGGCCATGGAGTTGGCCCCTGACTCACTGCAGCCCCATGCACAACGGAACAAAACACTGCCTAGTCCTGCACCATCCCATGATCAGTTGGTGTCTTGGTCATCTCGTGCTGCTATAACAGAAATACCACAAGTCGATGGCTTTAACAAACAAATTTATTCTCTCACAGTCTAGGAGGCTAGAAATCTGAGTTCAGGGCACCAGCTCCCGGCAAAGGCTTTCTCTCTGTCGGTTCTAGGGGAAGGTCCTTGTTGTCAATCTTCCCCTGGTCTAGGAGCTTCTCAGCGCAGGGACTCCAGGTCCAAAGGACACGCTTCACTCCTGGCACTTCTTTCTTGGTGGCATGAAGTTCCTCTCCTTTCTGCTTACTTCTCTCTTTTATATCACAAAAGACAGTGACTCAAGATACAACCTAATCCTATACATTGAGTCCTGCCTCATTAACATAACTGCCTCTAATCCTGCCTCATTAACATCATTGAGGTAGGATTCACAACACATAGGAGAATCATATCAGATGACAAAATGGTGGACAGTCACACAAAACTTGGAATCATGACCTAGCCAAGTTGACACACATTTTGGGGGGACACAATTCAATCTGTAACTATTGAGGATTGGACCATTGCGATCCATAGAGTTTTCACTGGCTGATTTTCAGAAGTAGATTTTCAGGCCTTTCTTCCTAGTCTGTCTTAGCCTGGAAGCTCTGCTGAAGCCTGTTCAGTATCATAGCAACATGCAAACCTCCACTGACAGATGAGTGGTGACTACATGTGAGGTGCCTTGGCTGGGAATTGAACCTGGGTCTCCCTCATGGAAGGCAAGAATTCTACCCCTGAACCACCGCTACCCCCAACAGCCTCTCACTAGGCTACTCTTTTTCAATGAATGTACGATGACGTCTTATCTTAGGGGGTGGGCGTTAGGGTCGGTGCTGAAAGGGGAAAATCACATGTCAAAGTTACTCCTGAAAACTTCTAAATGGCCCATAAAACCAGTATCATAGAGGGTTTGGAGAAGTCCACCTTCTCCAAGTGCCAGCAGCACTGAACAGACCACAGAGGATGTGGTTGGCTTGGGATTAGGAGCCACTGCTGGGCAAAAAATATGTATCCTTAAAGACCACAGTCATGTTCTGGGTGGCCATGGGACCAGTAGATTTCTGCTGCCATTTCATGCCCCTGGTGGACATAACGCTCACCGGGTGGGATGGAGAGCAGATGGCTTTCATGAATGTGTCTCCACTTGAGCCTGCCTCAGCATCCCCCGGAGAGCCTAGTAAAACCCAGATGGCTGAGTCCCAACCCTGTCCTTTCTGAGTCTGTCCATCTGAGTGGGACTCAAGAATTTGCATTTCTAACCTGTTCCCAGGTAGTGCTGATGCTGCTGCCCCAGGGGACCCTACTTTGAGAACCGCTGTCCTACACTTTAAATCATTATCTTGCTTTCTTGCTCTCCACCAATTACAGTAGTTGAATGAACCTAACTTAAATCCATACATGGTGCTACCTCTGATAGACAGTGACATTGCGTGGAATATCTTTTAAAAAAGTATAACTTCATATAGCTAAAAAGAATCATATTGCTATCAGGAGTACTGGTACATAGCCAAGATTACGATAGTAATAAATTTAAATGTAAAAGGTAAAGCAGTAATAGCTCAAACTCGACTTTGGACCAGCTGTGGTTTTTGTAAAGAACACAAAGATAGGTTGTGAAGCTCACCTTGGCTGAGATTGTTCATACGCTCCCAGCGGTGTTGTGTATGTTATTTTTTGACTTTAGGTCTCTGGCCTCTCATCTGTAACTGGATATAGGGTACTTTTTTTTTTTTAATTCCTCTCCATTTTTTAAGTTCTCCCTCCTTTTTCTCTTGCAGTGGGATAATATGCTTTGTATACGCTGGTAAATAAGATACCATACTTCATAGTTTTGCTCAGGGTCATTTCTGGGGGAGAGTAAATTCCCGAAGGATTTCTTTAGGCTTTGTACTGTCCGCTAGAGTAACCATGAGCCACACGTGGCTGTTGAGCCCATGAAATGTGCGAGTTCAAATTCACACATGCGCTAAGTGTGAAATACACACCAGATTTTGAAGACAGTAGAAAAAAAGAATATAAAATATCTCATTCATTTTTTTTCCATTGCATATTAAAAATGATAATCTTTTGGATATATTGGGTTAAATAAAATGTTTTATGAACATTAATTTTACCTGCTTCTTTTTATATTATTTTTCATGTGGCTACTAGAAAATTTTAAAGTACATGTATGGCCCCCAAACTCACAGTGTATTTCTTTTTTTGATTTATTTTGTGGTTGTTGAGAATATACAAGGCAAAACGTACACCAACTCAACAGTTTCTACATGTACAATTCAGGGACATTGATTACATTCTTCAAGTTGTGCAACCACTGTCACCCTCCTTTTCTGAGTTGTTCCTCCCCGTTAACATAAACTCACTGTCCCCTAAGGTTCCTATCTAACCTTTCAAATTGCTGTTGTCAGTTTGGTCCCATATAGATAGATCTTGAAAGACGACAATGCTCAAGGCAGACATTCTTTACTGATTAAGCTAAACTATTGTTTGGTTTTAAGAAGACTTCAGGAGATATTTTTGGTTTAAGGTTTAAAGATTATCTCAGGGCAATAGTTTCAGGGGTTCATCTATCCTCTATGGCTCCAGAGAGTCTGGATTCCATGAAAATTTGAAATTCTGTTCTGCACTTTCCCCGTTCTGATCAAAATTCTTACTATAGCACCTTTGATCAAAATGTTCAGTAATGGTAGCTGGGCACCATGCAGTTTTTTGCCATGGTCTCATGTGCAAAGGAGGCAGCTGTTCATGGAGCAATTATCCACACCTTCCATGTCCTCCTCCTATTCCTGACTCCGCTTCTTCCTCTCACAGTACATTTCCATCGGACAGCGCTGCCTGAGACTTCTCCTAATGGAAGTAGCTGGAGCTTTGCCCTGCACGAAATTCTACCAGATCTTTTCCTCTGTCCCTGCCCCGACAGCCACCCCCTCCTTTGCTTTCAGTTAACATGGGTGCCAGTTCCAAGCTCGGAACTACCGTGGATGTGCTGCAGGAGAAGATTGGCAACCTCCAGAAGTCTAGGATGAAGGTCAGTGTCTCAGGCAAACAGCCGCGTTGGGGATTGTGGCTCGTGAGCTGCTGGGTGACTCCTGGAGCTCAGAACCAGGCGGAGCGTCTACCCTCCTAGACATGGCATCATCCTGCACCAGAAAGGAGACCTGGGGGAGTGAGTGGCGCCAAGCAGGCAGCTGCAGCCACGTGGCGGGGGCCCTGGCTGGTGTGGGGTCCCAGTGGGGCGGGCGGCTGCGGGACTCCTCCAGGCGCCGTCCTAGCTGGCTGTTGAGATGAGGAGGCTGGTGACACACTGGTCCAGAGCATCCTCCTTGGCCGAAGCCCTCCTCTCCGGCCCTACCGGCCCTGCCAGCCCCGGTAACCTCAGAAGCTGGGCTCCCTGTGTTTCGCCTTTCAGGAGGAGGAGCTGGAGCGCGTTTGGGGTGGTCAGATTCAGATGATGAAGGATCACTACATTGTGTTGGATAGGACTGTGGAGAAGCTCCAGATTCGCATGGACGAATTCAAGGTGTGAGTCTGGGGGGCCCTGAGAGAGTTACAGGAGGGGCTGGTGAGGGGCCTTCTTCATCGGGACACTTAGACCCTCCCCAAAGGTTGCACAGAAGATGGGAATGCATCAAAAGCCAGGGAACCAGTGGATATCTCATTGGCATTTCACTGCATATAAATTACACTTCCTACCACCCATCTGTCGGCGTGTATGTACTTGTGTATGATATTAATGATATTGTTTGATAATTTCTGCATTTGGTTGGATCACCTTTCTTGGGAATAGGCATAAATATGGATCTCTTCCAGTCAGGTGGCCAGGTAGCTGTCTTCCAAATTTCTTGGCATAAATGAGTGAGCACTTCCAGCACTGCATCCTTTTTTTGAAACATCTCGATTGATACTCTGTCAATTCCTGGAGCCTTGTTTTTTTTTTTTATTGTGCTTCGGGTGAAGGTTTACAGAACAAAAGTTTCTCATTAAACAGTCAGTACATATATTGTTCCATGACATTGGTTAACAACCCCATGATATGTCAACCCTCTCCCTTCTCGACCCTTTTTTTTTTTTTTGGTGAAAATATACATAGCCAAAGATACACCATCCATTTCAAAAAATTTCTACATGCACAGTTCAGTGACATCGATTACATTCTTCAAGTGGTACTGCTGTTCTCACTTTAGATGAAGGTTTACAGAACAAAATAATCTCTCATTAAACAGTTAGTGCACACGTTGCCCTATGACAATGGTTAACAACCTCACTATGTGTTAACACTGTCCTCACTCAACCTTGGGTTCCCTATCACCAGCTTTCCTGTCCCCTTCTGCCTTCTAGTCCTTGTCCCTGGACTGCTGTGCCTCATTAGTCCTGTTTTGTTATATGGGGCTGTCCAATCCCGGCTGAACGGTGAACCTC